CTAGTCATTCATCCTGAAAGTGACTATTCTGTGTCTCAACAGTACAATATTTTGAATATGTTCAAATCTTCAACACAATGCTATGATTTCACAAACAGTTGATTCTGTGTATATTTTCTTGGAATTTGTTATACTCAGTGGACCTTACAGATAAGTTTATAAGATTACATATATTTGAGGATGGATGGATGGATGGATGGATGGATGGATGGATGGATGGATGGATGGATAGATAGATAGATATAATTTAATTCAATTAATTCTGTGCATGAGAGATGCTTTGTAAGAATAATACAAGACTATTCAGAATCAGATTTCCCTTATGTTAATGCTGTTTATAATTTAGATGAAGTGTCAGAATAACAATTTTTTCTGTGTGAAAAAAACTGTTGCAACACTAATTAAATATTTACTAGACAAGCTTATGTGAAAACTTTTTGTAATTAAACCACTGTCTTTTGAGAGCCTCAAATATTTTTAGAATATTTACTTTTAAAAAAAATATCTCTATTATTCTGAGGACTTTATTCAGCCTTGCAGAGAATTTTTTAAATTTGGCTCCAAATACTGTGCTAGGTACAGAATGGATAAGTAGAGGGACTAAGTATCACAGGATGTTGTAAACAATTAGCTAGCTTTATGCCTAGAATGAATTATTCCTTTTTTTGGCAAATGGATGAGTTACTATCTACAAAGTCAGGGTGTTTTTTTAATTGCAAATATTTAAAACATTAAATAGGGAAAGGTGAAAAGATGTCAAGAGAATGACTGACTCTTTCATATAACATGTATGACATCCTAACAATAATTGAAAATAATTTTGAACAGTATATTGCCAAGATGAAAAAAATGTGACAGTAAACTAAAACATTCAGTGCACAGTCATTTTGAGTTGGCTCTACTAATCACATGGAAGAAAGTTTAATGTAAAATAATTTTTAATATTTTTGCAGGTGGCTGAAATACAGAAAAGAGTGGCATCTTTAGAAAATGAAGCAAAATCTATCCAGCTACAAGTAGCTGAAGTAAGCCAGTATTTAACTTGATGTTTCTATAGACAAGTGGGCATACTTCCAAACTGGTTTTTTTTCTAGAAAATGATGTGGCTGATTGGGGAGCCAGTGGCATCCTTAGAAAAAAAGCTGATTCTGGATGGTGATACTTTGCAACTTGTGAATGTCCCACTTAAAAAAGGGTTTTTAAAATGTAAAAGATCAGATAGGAAAGCTGAGCTTGTAGTGTGCCAAAGAAAATTTCAGTGGGCACATTGTATCTCCCTGGTATCACATGAATTCAAGGTTTAGATACTTCTGTTGTAAATAGATTAAATCTTCTTGGTACTACTGGACTTAGCTTTCTAGTTTTGACAGTAATTTGGCATTTTGGAAGAAAAGTTCAGAATGCTTTATTAATGTTTTGATATATTGTTCAGTACTTCAGATAAATCTGATCAAGATCACCCTTCTGTTGTGTTTTCCAAAGCTTCCTATCTCCTTTTCATAACTGCGTCATGAAAATACAATGTTGTGCTTGAAAGGAAGATTTGTGCCCAGTCCTTAGTAGCATAGGACAATAGCTTTTCCACTATTGGAAGGCAAGAGCCACGTTGGCACTACTTTGGAATTTTTATATAATCTTTATTCCAGTATCTCTGGGGACTTATATGGAAGGCACTGTTTCGTTGTCAAAGGCAATCAGATAAATAACTATTTATGAGCCAGAAGAATTGCATTTTCTGTGGTTGATTTTTCCAAGCCCAATACCAATATAGTACATTGCCCTTTGTGTGTAAATAAGGTGCTTTCCATTATCATGTTTCTCTGTAGCAAGCCCTACTTGCGTTTCTTCTTTTGTTAATTTTTTTAAAATCAATATACTGTTACTGAATTGCTGCTTATGAAAGCCAAAGCCCATTGAAATGTTTTTCTAAACAGGGATGCTGGGCCAGCAATGAAGTAGAGGTCTCAGCCCAGTGTCTGGAGGCATATATGGCAGGATGGATCAAAAGAACCTTAAATTCCTGCAAGATAGATTTGCTGTTTGTGCATGACTATCCTAGGTCAAACTTGACCCTTAAATTAGATTTGGATAGGGTTGCATTTCCTCTGAAAGACTCAGTCTGTGATTTGTTGGGCCCTGGAGCAAGCTGTAGCCATGAGGTCCTTTGCCCAGCTTTGGCTAGTGGGCCAGCTCTGGATTTTTTTGATTGAGAAACGTAACTCACACCCTTATCACCTTATGGTGAAACTACTGCAATGTGTTTTGTGTAAGACTGCCCTTGAAGACAGTTCAGATGCCCCAACTGGTTGACCTGACAGGAGGAAGTAGATTCTGCAGAATAACATCTACTTTGAGGCTGCTGCATTGGTTACCAATAGGCAGCTGGGCCCAATTCAAAATATCATTGCTTTTAATCTTTAAAGTCCTATGTAATGATACTCTGGTATTTTTAGGATTGTCGCTTAGAATCATGAGTACCCTGCTCTAGTCATTCATCCTGAAAGTGACTATTCTGTGTCTTACCCACAGGAGATAAAAGGGATGAGAGCTTGGAACATGGCCTCTTGGGGGTAGACTCTTGAGATACAGGAACTGCTACCTTACTTGCATTTTGCAAAGCAGCAGAAACCATCTTTTTCTGACAATTTTTTAATGCGGATGATAGAATTGGGTGCATTTGTAATTCACAGAAACAGAGTTTGAAGGGTCCTCAGATCATCTGTTTCAACCCCCCCAAATTTCTTTGGTATTATGTTAATCTATTATGATTTTAATTTTTCTGTTATGTAAACAACCTCAAGTTGTTTTAAGGAGGATGCTACAAAAATGTTAAACAAATCAATAAATGTAGCTTGATGTGGTTCTATGTCATTTAGGCCAAAACCACATTAAAAGTGTATGAAATTAACAGAGAGAGACTGAAGACATCTTTGCAAGATGCAGTAGAGGAAAACGGCCATCTTCATGAAAGTGAAAAACAAGTATGTTCTTTCCACTGACTCTATACACATTTAGACATTTATTCTTTAAACTGTTAAATGTTGTAAGAAAAATGAGAAATCTAAAGGAAAATTTCACAGAGCATCAACAGCAATTAAATTTTGAGACTTTGTTTTTTAGCAGATAAATCTGTTCAGTACTGATAAAAAAAAATTACATGGAGTGATTTATTCCTCAACCGGCAGGTTACTGGGCCAGTTGAAGATGGAAGAGAGATCATGTGTGCAAAAGGGCGTGGGGGTGAGACAAGGATAACATAATATCTCTGAGCTCCTAACTCAGATTTTATTATTCAGGTTTTTTTGTTAGATTTGTATCACTTTTTTTTATATAATGTGATTTTGCAAACTTATCTTTCTAGTTATTACAAGAAGCTGAAGGATGGGATGAACGATTTAGTGAACTAAATGAGCAGACAAAAATGTTTGAATCATCTCAAACAAATATGGAGGAAGCTCTTAAAAATAAAGAAAGTCAAGTCAAGGTACACATATTTCTATTTTTTTAGCACTGAGTGGCCTAGCAAAGAAAAATATAAACAGAGTTCTCAGAGGACATATTCAACAGATTTTAACGTAAATGCAAGTGGCTCCCTCAGAGATCAAATAAACCATTGCCAGTTAAAAATTTGTGTTGCCTGATATGGAGAAAAATGTACCTGCTCTTATGCTTTGGCACCTGTTTTAATGTCTTCATTGAATGGCAATTGAGATGTGCTCCACATTCTGTGAATCCATTTTTACTAATATTTACAGACCACTGACTTGCCACAGTAGTGCGTGAATTTCTAAAAACCTTTTTTTCTCTCTTGGAAAAAAGTTTATGAGGATGCACAATACCTATTAAGAATGTAGTTTTGAGCATGAAACATCTTACCTTGATACTTGTTTTGTATAGAATCCAAGATTCACTGTTTCTCTTTCTGTTCTAAAATACTGCTTAGTCGCTGACAGACGGCTTACTAAGGATGAAAGACTGGAGCTGTGCAACAGGAGAGCAGGATTCTACTGATGACAACCACGGGAATAATGATATAAAGAGTGAAACGGAAAATGGGCAGCATTTAGGTAAAAATATGTTCAGATTTCAGTTAGTAAACTGCTGTCATTATAAATAACTCTGTATCTTCAAAAAGAAATAAATTATAATACATTAAGCTTGTAACGAATAGCCTATTTCACTCATGGCATAATGTTTTTCCCCCAAAAGCTTTATACTGGTATATTCTGGATTTCTTAGTGCTACATTATATTAAGATCAATTCAGAATAGTTTTTCTCAACACCAGCCTTTGAAGTAAGATTAGAAGCAACAGTAAAGACAAGTTTTTGGGATGTTCTATCATCTCACCCCCCCCCCC